TGATCCACTGCCCCCAAAATCATATGCAAGTTATCCCAATTTATTTTATTTTAAAACCATTTCTCCCAAAGGGTGACATCTAATCTGTAAATCACTGCACTGTCCAACTTTATAATCCCTGTATCATTATGCATTTACTTTGTTGACAAAATCTACACCATTTGAATTCAAAGTTTCAAGCCATACACTTAATGATTAAACCACTCTTTATGAGTCACAATTTAATAAGGTATGTAGCAATCATATCACACATAACTGCTTGCTAAATGTCTGCCGCAGCACTGAAAATGGCTTTGCAATATCATAAAATTAATTCTGCAGTACTAGCGTGACAGTCTTGTCACTGATGACTAGGATAAGTCTTTAGCTGTACTATAATCACCCTAAGTCAGTGCAACTGAGAAATAAGTTGCTTCTGTCTCATTAGAATTGAACAAAGTTTAATTTTTGTCTTTTGTGTATACTGCAAACATTTTTTTCTGCATATATTGTGCTTTCTAGCAATTTGAACAAAATATACAGGAAATCTGTACTACTGATCTCCTAAAACCAGTCCTCTTATTTGTAATAGAAAAATTCCATTTTATGGTTTGCTGATTTTTAGTATTTACTTTTATATATTCTTTTGGAACTTTTACTGTTGATTTGCAATTGTTGAATCTTCAGATTAGAATTGCACTGTATATTTTGTTTTTCAACATAGATTTCCTTTGCTTAAATATTTAGAATTAAAAGGATTTTTTTTAGTTTTATTTCTTACTAATAAAATTTCATGTTTTCTTTATCATTCTGTCTCTTGCCCTGGTAATATGGTTTTGTAAAAAAAAATCTGTCCCCTTCTTTGACAGTATAATTATTCTAGCAGATGTCCATGATGCTCTGGATATAATTTACCTTGATTTCAGGAAACTTGTAACAAGATTTCAAGTGTGTCAGACCAGATCAAGAAGATTCCATAGGAAGAATAAAATACCCTTTTTGAGGTAGGTTACAACAGAATGTGGCAAGCCTGATTGTGCTTTGCTTCCTTTCCCTCTTATAATCCAGTCAATGAGGGAAGATCCTGTCTAAATCTATTCTGAATACTGTCAAATTTCCAAGATCTTAAACGAATGTTTCATTCTTTGCTTATTTCTTGATTTTTGTCTATTTCCCTCCGGGTCATACCATTGCTTCTCTTCACCGTGATGTTATTATTAATAAGCTGTAAAGGAGATAAGATAGGTAAGATGTGGTTTAGAATGCACCACAGTTAGTTGGGTCCACAACCAGCTGGCTAACGGCACTCAGAGAGTGGGCATAAATGGCTTTACATTAAGTTCCAGAATATTTGTTTGTATGCTTCTTCTGGGATCTGGATGATGGGTCTAATGGGCTGCTTATCAAGCTTATTCTTTACAGAAAGTATAAGATCTGGTCAAAGCCCAGGATCAGATAGCACTATTGCAACCAATTCTGGACAAGTTGGACAATTAGGCTCATAAAAATAGGATTTAACACGGGGAAAAATAAGTGAGAAAAAATGAAGGGCATGCATATAAGAGGGATTCACTGGTGGTACAGTGATTAGAATGCAGAATATTGCAGGCTAATTCTGCTGACAGGAATTCGATCCTGAATGGGCTCAAGGTTGACTTAGCCTTCCATCCTTCCGAGATCGGTAAAATGAGGACCTAGACTGTTGGGGCAATATGCTGACTCTGTAAACTGCTTAGAGAGCTGTAAAGCACTATGAAGTGGTGCTACAGTTGTTATTGCTATTGATCATCATCATCATCATCATTTTAGCCATTTTCTATCCACTGCAGGATGAAGGCCTCTTCCACATGTTTCCACCAATATGGTCCCGAGCTTTCTTTTGCCAATTGGGTCTGCAATACTTGCTGATGTTGTCCATCAATCTTGTTTTAGGTTTCTTTCATGGACGCTTTTTATCAAGTAGGATCCATTCTATGACTGCAATAACAGGGATTAGTGGCCCGAAAATGCTACATCAAAAAAGATGTGGTGCAGTCATTGACAACAAGATATATGAAACAGCTGCCAGAATTGTTAATGGTTAATAGAAATCTAGCTGCATTAAAAGAAGCTTTGTATCAGAAAAATACAAAATTAATATTCCTCTATACTCAACAGTGGAGAACACTTCTGGAGTACTTTGTAGATTCCGTGTGCCAGTTTTCAAGAAAGATATTGACAGGTTAGAGATTGGGCAGCAAAACTGATACAAGGACTTCACAACAAACCAAGGATAACAGACAGAAAAAATTCTTAGTGTGGACAAAGGTAGACTTGAGGTGATGTGTTCAAGTACATAAAAGAAATTAAAAGAACTGTCAAGAACTACGGTACTTATTTTCCATAGCCACAGAAACTAGGACCAAAAATAACAGTTATAAATTGTATTAGATTTATTTAAAGAAAATGACATATGTACAACCTTTAACAGCCTACCTATCTAAGTAGGTTGGATATTCTATCTCTGGAGAATTTTAACAGTCACCTCTTATAGGGCTTTTTCATTGGTTCTACTGCACAGTGCAAAAAATTGGACTAGATTATCATGGTAGACTTATCCTGTTCTACAATTCTACGATTCTTCCCAATTTGCAACCAGTGACTAACTTCCTGACAAACCAGCCTTCCCATGCATGCTTCAAGCATGGAGAAATGGGACATTTTTAGAAAGACTCTTTTCAAGTGAAGGTCTGAGATAACAAAACTTAGTCTAAAACTTGTGGGTCAAGAAAAAAAAAAACCAATAAAGATTTGTATTTAGAATTAATACAAGCATTAGCTCATCAAATGAGTAGAAGTAGTCATACATACATATCCAGCAGTGGCTTGAGGGAATTCTGGAGCTCCAATCCAGAACCAGGCATTTTGAAAAGTAATTTAAATAGCTCTAGAAAATATTGCTAACAAAAACTCCTTATAGGTGTTGATAAAATATTGGCAGAAGTGTTTTGAAGCACTACTTACAGTTTGTAAGCAGTTATGGAAAAGAGTGTTGCCCAAACAACTGGAACCCTAACTTACAGTATGTCACAAGAGTACATCCCCTCACATTTTGTAAATATTTAAGTATACCTTTTCATGTGACAACACTGAAGAAATGACAGTTGGCTACAATGTAAAGTAGTAAGTATATAGCTTGTATAACAGTGTAAATGTGCTGTCCCCTCAAAATAACACAACACACAGCCATTAATGTGTGAACTGCTAGCAACAAAAGTGAGTACACCTCTAAATGATAATGTCCAAATGGGGCCCAAAGTGTTAATATTTTGTGTGGCCACTATTATTTTCCAGCACTGCCTTCATCTTCTTGGGCATAGAGTTCACCAGAGCTTCATAGGTTGCCACTGGAATCGTCTTCCACTCCTCCATGACCATGTCATGGAGCTAGTCAATGTTAGAAACCTTGCACACATCCACCTTCCATTTCAGGGTGCTCCACAAATGCTCAATAGGGTTTCAGGTCTGCAGACATGCTTGGCCAGTCCATCACCTTTACCCTCAGCTTCTTTAGAAAGGCAGTGGTCGTTTTGGAGGTGTGTTTGGGGTCATTATCATGTTGGAATACTGCCCTATGGCCCAGTCTCCAAAGGGAGGGAATCATGCTTTGCTTCAGTATGTCACAGTACATGTTGGCATTCATGGTTCCCTCAATGAACTATAGCTCCCCAGTGCTGGCAGCACTCATGCAGCCCCAGACCATGATATTCCCACCACCATGCTTGACTGTAGACAAGACACACTTGTCTTTGTACTCCTCACCTGGTTGTCCCCACACACGCTTGACACCATCTGAACCAAATACGTCTCATTGGACCACAGGACATGGTTCCAAAAATCCATGTCCTAAGTCTGCTTGTCTGCAGCAAACCATTTGCGGAGTTTCTTATGTATCATCTTTAGAAGAGGCTTCCTTCTGGGATGACAGCCCTGCAGACCAATTTGATGCAGCGTACGGCTTATGGTATGAGCACTGACAAGCTGACCCCCTCCCCACCTCTTTAACCTCTGCAGTAATGCTGGCAGCACTCATATGTCTATTTCCCAAAGCCAACCTGGCAGCACCATGTTCTGAGTGGAACCTGTCCTGTCAAACCACTTTATGGTCTTGGCCACCATGCTGCAGCTCAGTTTCAGGGTCTTGGCAATCTTGTTATAGCCTAGGCCATCTTTATGTAGAGCAACAATTTGTTGTTTCAGATCCTCAGAGAGTTTATTGCCATGAGGTGCCATGTTGAACTTCCAGTGACCAGTATCAGAGAATGAGAGCGATAACACCAAATTTAACACACCAGCTCCCCCTTCACACCTGAGATCTTGTAACACTAACCAGCCACATGACAGCAGGGAGGGAAAATGGCTAGTTGAGCCCCATTTGGACATTATCACTTAGGGGTGTACTCCCTTTTGTTGCCAGGGGTTTAGACATTAATGGCTGTGTGTTACGTTATTTTGAGCGGAGCAGCACATTTACACAGTTTTCCACCTGTACACCCACTACTTTGCAGCCAAGCGTCATTTCTTCAGTGTTGTCACATGAAAAGATATACTTAAATATTTACAAAATGTGAGGGGGGTGTACTCACTTCTGTGACATACTGTATATACAGTATTTCAATACTAGAAGGGCAGTTCTAAAGAATGCTCAACTACTAAGTAATTGCACATATACAAACAATATAAGGAACAAGAACTACCAGTGGTGGGAGGAGTTCAGAGGAAACAGATGAAGCTATGATCACATTGCAAATTTCCATAGGGTAATAAAAAAGGCAAAAGAGGATTTGAAATATATTTATTTGCTGTATTGATTATACTAAAACTTTAAATTGTAGGAATTACAGTTTATAATGTATTGTAGTTTGTCCTAAACATAGATGTTATCAGACTACAGTACATTATCTGCAAGTTAAAATATATATGTTGATTAGGAAGCAATAGAACATGGAATAACTAATTCAAGATTGTGATGAATTCTGTTGAAGTAATGTCTTATTGAAGTAACGTCTAATTGAAAGTGGAAGTTACAAAAGCTGCTCTTATGCCCAATATTTTTTTTAAATAGGGTCGTGCCAGCTGGTGATGTAATGGTTGGTGTAATTGTTAAAATTAGAGACGATGAATTCTAGCCCTGCTTTAAGCAGAAATCTAGCTGTGTGACTGGGTCAGTAATTCTCTCTCAGATCTAAAACATCAAACCAGTTCCCAAAATGTTGTCAAGAAAATTGAAGGAACTTGTCCAGGCAGTTTTTAAGAGTGGCTTGAAGGAAAACAAAATTAGCTATTACTATCAGTCCAGTGCAAATACCTGAAGAAATGATGGCAGAAACAGAGTTTATCTTCCTGGACACCAAAAATGCTGCAAAAGAGACTGTAATCATTAAATAGAATGGCATCTGCTTTTTAGAGACAAAGACCATTAGAAATTATTCAAAAACCATACTGACAGCAATGATTTGTAAATATATGGTCTTTCCAGTTATAAACCTGAAATCTGAAAAAACAAAAACAAATTGATCCCTTTGTACAGTGGAGTTGCTGGAGAAAACTTCTGAGGATTTTTTTCAATAGAATGATGAATAAATCATTCATTAGAATGATTAGATTAGAATATACAAGCGGATAGTGAATTTTTTTTTGATTCATAATACAGAAGCAAGATTTTTTTGAGTAGACTCTGATGTTTGGAAAAATTAAAAGCAATTTAGAAAGAAATCAACAAATAAAAAGCTGGTTAGACATTATCATCATTAATATCATGACCATGAGCCGACAAATACTCAGAAAAGCAGATATTGACAGACAAACCTGGAAAACTGTTGCTCACTGATGACAATATCCATTCAGTTGTGTCTGACTCTTGGCTATTCCATGCACTGGGTCTTTCAACATCTTCAGATGCTGCACTAACTCACTGTATACAAAGAATTATAAAGAACTGAATGATTAAGCAAACAGGAATTAAGACTTCAGCTCAGTTCAGTTATTCGAAGCAACACGGACAAGTCTACACAGTTTCTTTGTGATTAGCACAGAAATGGCTTGTCAGTGTTATGTATATTTTTTCAACCTTTCAATCTTTTTCAGTCCAATGCTGTTCAGCTTTTGGAGAATGAACTGTGATCAATTAAGTGCTGCTGTCTTTATTGACAATAGATGTGTCTCACAATTGTCTACTAAAAAGTTTGTGATTCCTAATTCAAGTAGAACAAGTTATACTTCCCTAAAAAGTAAATTCAGTAAGGGAATTTCCCAACACAATTGTCAATTAATGCTACTTCTGGTACTACACATTTTCTACATAGGGTGTGGCAGTTCTTTTGGCTGATCATAAAAGCAAGGTTAGATCCAGTAATACTTGGATGAAACACCATTAGAAAATAGGCTATACAGGTTAGTTGAAAAAAAAAAAAACAGTAGAAAGCAATGGCAAGTCAATTCTGCAGTTTTACCAAGAAAGTTCAAAATGTGTCTATGAAGTCACCAGGAGTTAAGTTTGATGTTCTTGGTTGATGATCATTTGTACACATATTAGAAGCTGAATGCTTACATGAGATGTGCAAGGAATTTCCTTTTTAAAAAATATTGACTTCAATCAGAGATTTCAGTATGGGTAACACAAATAAAACTTAATCACATTGTTAAAAACTGCAATTCTGAACACATTTTTAGAAGAGACAACCTTCTAAATGCAAACGTTTTTCAATGCAAAAAGTTTATACATCTTTAATTAGACAATTTGTATCTAAGCTTTTGAGGCAATGTTGACTCCTAATATCTGACTACTTGGACAAATTCCTACAGTTTTCCTGATGGTTTGCTACAGCCTCCTTTCTAGGGCTGAGAGTGACTGGGACACCCAGCTGGCTTAGTACCTAAGGTAGTACCAGAACTGTATGTTTCTAGTCTTGTGCCTTAAATTACATTAATTTAAGTACATTAAATTACAGTGCTTAATTTATGTCCTGCAATTTAACTATTTGTCCCTTCCAATTGTTTCATTTATTAAAAAAGCTATTTTTGTACCAGTTTGCTATATAGAATAAATAGTAGGCATGGAAAAACAATAATTTATTATCCAAAGTATTATGATCTACAAAGATCAGGAATTACAAGATTATGGTCGTGGGAGTTGTTTCATTCAGGTGTTTTTTTAAAACTCTGCCATTCAAGTACGAGATGCTGTAGTTGTAGATTTGTGCACTATTTCTATTTTCACTGGGAAAGAAACCCAGATTTACAAGTCAGTTTATGAACTGAAGAATATATGTGATAGATGTGCCTGGTCTAATAAAAAAATTAAATTGCCTTTAAGATTAGCACACTGAATTAGTGTGGCACTAGAATGTTATCACCATACACATGGATCCTAAGGCCTTAGTTTAAACACAACTCTTAGGGTATACAATGTTGTATCTGATGTCCTGTGTAAAGGAACCATACCCAATTCTAGAACTTTATAATTTACTGAAGGTTTTCCAAACTCAGGAAGTTATATTTAATACTCCTATCCCTGTTATTCTCACAACAAATACCAAAGGTATGAGAGGTGAAAAATAGACTGGCACAGGGAGCTTATCCCCAACAGTGACTTAGCTTTGGAGTTCTTCTATTTTAATCAATGCTGAAGGCCTATTACTGGAGTTGCTGTATTCCCATATTGGAATATGAATCCATCCCTCCTTCGGTATTGGATAGAAATAGAAAATACATGTCTGTCCTTCGATTAACAAGCTGTTTTTCTGAGGATTGCACATCGTAGTCACATTCTTACACAAAAGTCTTACATGCACAACAAAAATGAGGAAGCAGCACATACGCCTCTTGAAATACACCTGTAGAGAGTCCAGGATCGTTATTTACTTGTTCAGAAATGTCACTTGGAAAACATCCCTAAGTGACTGCGGAATAGGAACTGCAAAATAGTATAGCTTGGCGGTGGGGGAGGAGGGTTCTCCCCAACTTCAACTCTAAACGTGGGGCAAAAAAACCACGGCCACCGTTTCCGTGCTTTCCAAACGGCCCGAATGAGCGTGTGCGGGTGAAGTGCAGCAGCTTCCTCCTTCCACCATGTAAAAAAGCCCCCCCCCCCTTTCCCCGGATGTCTCGGAATCAGTTCGCGGTTCGTGCAAGGCCGCTCTCTCGGAAGTTGGGCCCCGAGATCCCGGCGGTGACGGCTCCGTCGCCGTTTCCAGCCCCTCCAGCAGGGCAAAGCGCGGCGAGAACGAATCTCGAATCCTGCCGCGCGCGAAGCAGGCAGGCCGCCTCGTTTCTCTCAGGGGCCCCGGCGGGAGCGAGTCTTCGGTCGGAGAAGCAGTCCTAGGCCGGCCTACCCGCGTCTGTCTTCCCGCTTGTCCCGTAGTCGCTGCCGGGCGGCGGCTGGGTCACGACGGCAGTGGTGGGGTCAGAGGGTAAAGGTCGCTCCCCCAGCATCCTCCGTGCGGGGTGCTCAGCCATCTTGGATCCTCGGGACAAGAAAATTCATGCGGTGAGTTCGGCCCTATTATTCTTCCCCCGCTACCACCTCCTCTGCTGCGGCCCAACTACGAATCTGCCCGGGAATCCGCGGCCGGCCGGGGAAGGGCTTCGGTCGGGCCTGGTGCGGTTTGGGCTCCTTGCGGTCTGTCTCGTCCTCCTCGGTTTCCGTTTGCTTTTGTCTCTGTGAGGGAGCGAGAAGGGGGGGAGATGTGTGAGGGAAATAGGGGGAGGAACACGTCGCGGCGGTGGCGCGGCGCTTAGCACGGGAGTGCAGGAGCCCCGAGGCCCAGCCCGTCTGCCGCCTCCCGCCTTTCCTCGGTGCCCCGCCGCGGGAGGCAGCATAGGGGAGGCCCCGCCGCGGGAGGCAGCATAGGAGAGCCGCGCATTTCGGGGCTTTGAGGGTCCCGCTTTAGCCGCTTCTCCGGCCCCCCAGCTGCGTTTCCCGCCACAAGCCTCCTCTCGTCTGCATCGCTCGCAGAGGCAGCGCTCGGCCTACTTGTCTCTCGCCTTGCCCTTTATGCCGCCGGGGTGCGAGCGCCGTTCGGGGTCCGCGTCGGAGCATCGCGTTCCCCCTGATGCCTGAAACTCGGGGTAAGAAACGGACAGTGCAGAATCTACTCCCCCATATGTGTGTGTGTGTGAGAAAGAGTGTTGGTTCGCAGGTGGAGTATTACTTTCGGGCCTGTTTTCCCGGTGAAAAAGGCCCATAACTCCTTGCCTTTAGACCCTGTTGCCTCAAGAACTTCGCCAGGCAGCTGTAAAAAATCTCTTTCCGGCCCAGCGATGTTTGTAGGACAAACTTCTAGCTGATCGGTTTCGATTTTTTATTCGGGACGAAGTGTTGAAGGTCTTGTTTTGGTTTGAAAGCATTCGTTCTGCAAATAAGCCCTGCAGCTCCTCTGTGATAAGCTGATACTGGAGTACGCTTAAATGGGCAGATTTAATATATTTTCTTCTTCCTTACTGCAAAATGCAAAGCGATCCTTTGTTTGCATTGTTGCTGCATGTAGGGACGTGATCAGACTTGTCACATTTTAGTGAACAGGAGTTAGGTTTGGGTGAGAGAGATTGTTTAGTGCATCCACTTAGGTTAAACCATGATGTAATCCTTTTCTTATGTGGTAGGTATGTAAAGATTGATACCCTGTGTATAACAGAAATTTTCTCCCTACATTGTAGTAGTTCTGCGGACCACTGAATGTATTACTATATTTTATATGAGCCTTATCCACACTTTTTAAATAATAAGATGCCTTTAAAAATTACAATTAGCATGTGTCATGTAGTGTTCTTAATATCAGTTTTTGCTTCTTAAACTCTTGGAAAGTTTTCAAGAGTATCAAAATATCTTAGACAACTGATTACTTGAATGCTATGCAGTTGTTTTGCTATTGGGGGAAGACACTATTGCTGCAAATGAAGAAATGGATTGCAGTTCACAAAAGCTGATACCTTGTATATGTAAACTGTAGAATTCCAAAGTACCTGTAGGAGCATACTGTATTCTTAACAGCAATTTGCTGTTTTTATATAATTTCCAGGAAGTGTGAGGTGTAAGTAATACTAATTATGAATTGCTTTATAGTTTGTAAATACTTAGCAAAGCATTTGTAGAGAAATGTATAGTCAGTCAACTCTTCTCTCCTTGCTTAAACTTTCCCCTTCCCCCAATAGCTAAACCACAAACAGGGTTTCCCCATAATGTCTAACTGAAAAACTGATTAAAAATCACAACACTAGTTTTTAAAACTTTGGTCACTATGGTACTTTGGTACTATGTAGTGGAAAATGGGAATGATGGTTGATAATTTGGAGTCTATTTTTAAAACTTTGAACATATACCTTGAGAACATCTCTACTTTTAGACAGGTACAGAGACTGTGGTTACTATTTTTCAGCTGTAAGGTGTAAAGGTTTTCAGTATTTGAACCAAATTGTTAAGCACCCTTCCTTAGACCTCTAATAGTTTAAAAGCAGTTTAGTCTAGCAGTTAATGTACTAGACTAGAAAATGAGAAAAGTGAATCCAGTCCTGCCTTAGGCATGGAACCTGGCTGGGTGGCTTTGAGCAGTTTCTCAAATAAATTCATCACATATAGTTGGGAGGAGAATAGAACATGGCTTTCTACCCATTTATAAAATGCATCCATTTGTAGAACTCACAAACACATGAAAAACTATCAACATTTCAAAAATTATTAGTGAACATCAACTATTGATTAAATTGCTCTCATATTTTATAATTTGTCTGAATGCATTCCTATATTTTACACTTTTATTGGATATTTTTATACTGTAAACATAGATTTTTCGTTGAGGCTTTTCTGTAGATTGAGTGATTGTACACATTTTTTCCACCAAGTCTTACCTTGAGTAATCTATGGTTAGAATTCATAATCTTTCTGGCTTATTGTGACACCTGAGTGCAATGTCAGATACCTGAGGAATAATTTAGTACTGTACAAAGATTGATTAGTATTTTAAATGTTTGGTGTTAATAGTGATAGAACACTCAAATTGTTAAGTTCTTCGGTTAAGAAATACGGGATCATGATAAGACATAATAGCTTGCTTTATTTTTTGGTTTTGTGTATTATTTATTCATTTATGCAATTTATACAATCACCTATCTCACAAATGAGACTGGCCAGTGTACAACAAAACAATATCTAAAACCTTTATCATTAAATAATTAAAAACTATAAGAGTTAAAGCAATAATAATAGATAAAGATAAAATAATAGATAAAGATAAAAGCCAGCTTACTACTTTATCAGTCCCTTGGAATCCCAGGTCTGCAAGTGTAACCATCTGTGGAGATCTTTGGAAACTCAGAAGAGATGGGACCATTGTCATTCCAGGTCAAGAAGATTCCACAACCTGGGTGCCAAAACAGAGAAGGCCCACTGTTATGTGTAAACTATACTTTTTTTTGTATGTTGCCCGGAACTAGCCAGTTGTCATTGACAAACCAAAGTTAAAGAAATTAAAACTTAGTGTGATAAGTGATCCAACATAAATGTGTGTTGCTTAATGTAATGTTATTGAATTAAAAACTACTCATTTCTACCCATTTGTAATACTGCTCTCAGTGTCAGTGTCCCTCCAAATGTAGTATTGGGACATGTAGTATTGGGACACCAAAAAGTTGTTTCTCCTATAATAGGGTTATAGGAAACATCTCTTGCCAGTGACATCTACTCGACACATTAGAACGAGGAGGCAGGGAATGTTATGGGTCCCACCCGAGGGAGATACACCTGGTGGGACCCAGAAGAAGGGCCTTCTCTGTGGTGGCTCCGTCTCTCTGGAACATCATTCCCCCAGAGATTAGAATGGCCCCCTCACTAATACTCTTCCGAAAGGTACTGAAGACCTGGTTTTGCCAGCGGGCCTGGGGAACCCAGAGAGGGATGGAACCCATCAAATGGCTAGCGTGATCTGCTGTCGTCAGGATGGGGGTGGGGGGGTGGGAGTTGGTTTTTAGTTTTTTTGTCTTTTTGTTTTTTGCTTTGTTTTGTTGTTTGTTTTCCCAAATTTTGTTCTATTGTACTTTATTAATTTATTTGATTCTTTTTGTTAATTTTTATTGTTTTTATTTTTATTGTTTGTTTTAAATATGATTTTACATTGTATAAGCTGCCTCGAGTTGCCATGGGCGAATAGGCGGCAATATAAATAAAATAAATAAATAAAATAGGATATGTAGATGTAATTACTGATAATATAAAATGACTTTATTTCAACTGTTCAGATACATATTTTTAAATTCTCATTTTTTAAATTAAACTTGAATATACTAACTCTCTCAGATACCATGGTCTCTGTGATTTGTTTTATCCATGGTTTGTAGGACCAGCTACTATAGCTAGGATCACACAGTGTTAAGTAAAATATAAAAATTATGTTAAAGCATATTGCAAGTTGTGAATCTAATCAATAAGACATTTGCCTTAATAAAACAAAATAAATGCATTTCTCTGATTGTGCATTCCTTTCATATTGACATTTAACTATTGAATATTTAATACAGATAGTCCTTGACTTACGACCACAATTGAGCCCAAAATTTATGTTGTGAGAATTTGTTAAGTGAGTTTTGCTCCATTTTACGACCTTGGCACAACTGTTACATGAATCACTGCAGTTGATAAATTAGTAATCTGGTTGTTAAGTGAATTTGGCTTTCCCCATTGACTTTGCTTGTCAGAAGATTGCAAAAAGTGATCACACAGCACTGGAAAGCTGCAGTGGTCATAAGTTTGAGTCAATTGCCAAGCATCTAAATTTTGATCATGTGATCATGGGGATGTTGCAAATGTTGTAACTGAAAAACAATTGATTAGAATGTTCTACAATACATTTGATGCAATAGAGATAATTTTGAGTATAAAGCAGATAAGGTTATTTT